TGTTGCCACAGCACTGGCTTTTTTTTTTTGTAAGATTTCTTTATTTATTTTAATTTAGAAGTCAGATTTATGAAGAAATGAAGAGAAAAACAGAGATAGGGAAATAAAGATCTTCCTTCTACTGGCCACAACAGCTGTGGCTGGACCAGGCCAATGTTAGGGTCCAGGAGCTTCTGCTGGGTCTCTCACGTGGATGGCAGGGTGCAGAGTCAAGCCTTATGACTTTTTAACAATCTTCCTTACATAAGGAAGTCAAGTCAGATTATCTTTAAGGGCCATCTGTCTGTGACAAGCAATAACAGCAAGAGGATTGGTCCAAAACTTTAGAAAAATGAGTTCATTTTCCACAGAAGGCATAATGCCAGCATTTACTGATATTAGGTTAATTTGTTCACTGTTTCCCTGGGCTTAAATCTACTAAGAGGAAGTGGACCAACTAGAATCTGGGCTTTGAGTTTTCATAAAGCAGATGGCAGAGTAGATAATATGATTTCTTAGAATCATGCAATATATACAAGGAAATTATTTTGGGAACTTGTATCTGTAGCCTTGTGATAACACTGGAGGGGGAATTCCACTTCCTTCTTTTACTAACTGGATGACCCTTAACCATTTCTCAAGCTTTACCAAAACTGTATTAAAATGGCAGTTATACATGGGTAATATTAAAGGATAAAGTGATCTCTTTTGAAGAGCTTTGTATGTAAAAATTACCGTACCCATTTGGTGGGTTATTACTTTGATGTCCAAAGTGCAGTGTTATCAGCAAGATCATCACTGAACATTTCTATTCATCTTTGTGAATGAAACCAGTAAAGGGATTATTTGTTTTATTTTTTTAGTTTTTAAATTTTATGATACAGTTCCATAAGCTCTAGGATTTACCTTGCCCTCTCCCCAGCTCCCCCCCTTCTCTGATTTCTCCCATATTTTAACAATAGTATTTAATAATCGTATAATCCTTCATAAATAGTCATAAGGCCATCATTCTGCTAAGTGTATCCTGACATTGCAAGTACGGACAATGGAAGATAGTCCCACATCCTGTTGTTAAGATGAATTTAATAGTTTAATTGGGAGTCCATCATTGGTTTGCAAGTAGAGATGCCTACTGTATTGTATCTTCACATATGGACACGATAGTCTCTATTACACAGTTACTATACATTCCCTTAAATTAATAGCCATACAATAGAATCAACAACAGGAATAAAGTTAAAAAATTTACAACACCATGAAGTTAAATAAAATGCTACTGAATGACCAATACAATGATGAGGAAATGAAAACAAACACAAAAAACTGTCCTGAAGAAAATGATGCTACTGCATGACTGAAGAATTTAATAATAGATAAACTATTTTAATCAAATGAAAATAAGAACAAAAATATCAAAATACCATGAGATGCAGCAAAAACAGTATTGAAAGGGCTATTGATCCTATATTTTGCATGAAGATTGCCTTATATCAGAGAGAACATATGATGATTGTCCTGTTGGGATTGACTTATTTCACTGAGCATCATGGTCTCTAGTTGGAACCATCTAGTTACAAATTGTATAATTTCATTCTTTTTAATGGCTGAGTAGTATTTCGTGGAGTAGACATACCACAGTTTCTTTATTCACTTCTCTTTGGACAGGCACCTGGGTTGTATCCATATTTTTGCTATTGTGGATTGTGCTGCTGTAAATATAGGACTGCACATCGCTTTCTCATATGCAGATCTCATTTCCTTTGGATATATTCGCAGCAGTGGGATAGCTGGGTTATATGGAAGGTTTATTTTCAGTTCTCTTACATCTCCATACTGACTTCCATAGTGGTTGTGCAGCCTACGCTCCCAGCAGCAATGAAGGAGGGTACCTTTCTCCCCACATCCACGCCAGCAGGTGGTGTTAGTAGAGTTCTGAATGTAGGCCAGTCTCAGTGGAGTTAGGTGGAACCTCAGTGTGGTTTTCATTTGAATCTCTCTGACGGCTAGGGAGCCTGAGCATCTTTTCGTATGTCTGTTAGCCATTTGAATTTGCTCTTTTAAAAAATGTATGTTCATTTCCTTTGCCCATTTCTTCACAGGGTTGTTTGTTTTGCTGTCACTGAGTTTCTGAGGCTCTTTGTAAATCCTGGATATTAGCCCTCTATCAGTTGTGTAGTGTGCAAAGATTTTCTCCCATTCTGTTGGTTGCTTTTTTTTTTTTCACTTTGTTGATAATTTCCTTTGCTATAAAAAAGCTTTTCAGTTTGGTGTAATCCTATTTGTTTATTTTGCTTTGACTACTAAAGGGATTATTTAATGGCCGTTGGTATCAACCAACAGGAAACAACAGAAACAATTAACTTAAAGATCTGGATAGAAACTAGAAATTGAAGCTGGGGTTTCTGAATATTGGCATTGGAATAAGGGAGTTGTCAAGAGACCAAGGCTACAGCTCAGTAATTATCCACCTTCCAGATTCATTATCCTGGGCCTTGTTAGATGAAGTTACTACCTTGAGGGACATGTATGTGGGCATGATACAATAATTCCCAAGCACTTCATTTTTTTTCCATCAGACTGAAAAAAAAGTTTAACTTCTGTTAAATTAACTCTAACAAGGAGAACTCAGGTGGCACGTGTAAGCGTGGATTTCTAAGCACAGCTAAAAAGGGATGCCAGTTCACAAATACTGGAAAGAATGGTTCAGAGATATTTTCTCTCTTTGTGTCTGGGAAAAACTTCTTTTGAAACCAAAGTAATGACATTTACCTTTTTAGTGGATTTTTAGGTATAAAATACAGTATCACTAACTACAGGCTAAATATTCTACAGCAAGTATCTGGAACATATTCATCCCGCATTAATGAAAGTTTATTCTTGTTGATTAGTGGCACTGCCCTTTTTCTGAATGCCCTGTCCTGATGAGTATGATTCTGCTCTGTATTTCTGTGAGTTCAGCTGTTTGGGTATTTCATGTAAATGGCACAATACTGTAGTTATCCTTCTGTGACTGGCTCCATCTCTGTTGTTTCATATGGAAGGATTTGTTTCTTTCTTTTAAATTTTATTTTCAGGGGCCCGACACAGTGGCCTAGCAGCTAAAGTCCTCACCTTGAACGCACCGGGATCCCATATGGCTGCTGGTTCTAACCCTGGCAGCCCCGCTTCCCTTCCAGCTCCTTGCCTGTAGCCCGAGAAAGCAGTCGAGCACAGCCCAAAGCTTTGGGACCCTGCACCGCGTGGGAGACCCGGAAGAGGCTCCTGGCTTTGGACTGGCATAGCATCGGCCGTTGCGCTCACTTGGGGAGTGAATCATCAGACAGAAGATCTTCCTCTCTGTCTCTCCTCTCTGTATATCCGCCTTTCCAATAAAAAAATAATAAAAATAAATCTTAAAAATAAATCTTTAAAAAAAATACAGTTCACAAGTCTTAAAAAATGTTAGTTTCTTAGAGCAAAATATCTTGTATGTTGTTGATTCTTGACACAGTTTTTACATTTAAAAATATTATGGTTGTTCATGATATAGTTTTATAGATATAGGGATTCATCCATCATGCTTCGTTTGTTCCCTTCCTGTTTTCCCCTTCAGCCATTATAACTTTTCTTATCACAGTAGTATAGTTCTGTAGTAACAGTTTAACTTTCTGCTGTCTAAGTGTATCATGGCACTATAGGTGTACACAAAGGTAGAACATCTAGTATCGTACTGTCTTGACTCATGTTAGGTTTATTTATTTTTATTTGAAAGGCAAGGTTACTGAGAGGAGACACACAGAGAGATTGGCCTCCCATTCACTAGTTCACTCCCCAATTGTTACAACCATTGGACCTCAGCCAGGACCTTTTTCTGGGTCTCTCATATGGGTGCAGGGGCCCAAGCACTTAGTTGGCCCCATCTTCAGCTACTCTCCCAGGCCATCAGTGGAGAGTTGGACTGGAAGACAAATAACCAGGACTCCAGTTGGTGCCTACATGGATGCCAGTGCCACATATAGAGGCTTAACATGCTATGCCATGGTGCCAGTCCCCTCGATGAAATTTAATAGGAGGATATGGAGCTAGAGAAGATCTAGAAGGTGACTAATATGAGGAAAAGTTTCAAATATAGCCTTCTTGAAAATAAGGCAAAATACTTTAGCAGTTGGGATAGTTCATAAGGAATGGAGCCTCTTATGGGTTCTTGATCTGTCCGTGGAAGCTCAGTCAGAGTCAGCTTAACTGCCTGAGATGCTAAAGGAGAGGTTCTTGCAGAATATGACACAACAGTGCTTGATTTAGTTCATCCGTTAAAAAAGTAGCATTTTCTTCATTGTTATTAGCCTTTCTATTGCAGAGGTACTCTTAAAAAGTGATGGACATGGTCATGAGTTTTCATTTGGTTAAAAAACCAGAAATGAAAGAAAGTTGTATTTCCCGTTTCTTCTTGCAAAATCCTTGTTACCTATTATTTTTGGGGAGCCCACTTAAGACCCGTTTGTCCACCATTTAAAACATGTAATGACCTTGGAGAGACACTTTGAAATCTGCTAGTTTATTGTGACCACTTCAGACATAAGGCAACTAGAGCCTATAAAAATGGAGACTTGCCTGCGGGTTTTATAATGTTCTAATGACAGTGCAAGCTCAGAAACAAGAGATGAGCATTTCTGAAAACAGCTTAGTCTTTAGATTTTTAAATACTTGCTTTCTGATTTTGGACATGTTTTTTGTTAGTAGTTTCCTTTTCTGAAAAATTAAGCTAATGATGTTTACTGTAGGTTAAGTGAGATATCTAGATACATTTCTGAGCATATAATGGTTATTCAGGATGTGTTGATTCTTCGCTCTTCGTCCATGCTCAGGGCGTTGGACTGCTCTCTGTAATTGTGTTATTTTCAGCGTCACATTTGTTTCCTCCCAAAATAATGGGCCACCTGTCCAGTGTTGTTGAGTACATTCCTAATTATGTATGCCATTCTTGCATACTTTCCACATCAGGCTTCAAAGTGCTCTGGTTTAAATAATCATGATCATCCTGGCTAGAACTTTCTCAGTGCCTTCCTTAGGGCATCTTTCAGTTCTTTGTTCCTCATACTGTAGATCAAGGGGTTTAAAATGGGAGTGATAAAAGTGTAAACTACTGACACTACTCGTCCCATCTCAGGAGAGTAGCTGGAGCTAGGGGACAAATATATGAAGCTGGTACAGCCATACTGTAGCAAGACCACTGAAATATGAGAGGAGCAGGTAGAGAAGGCTCGATGACGCCCTTCTGTTGACTGGATACGTAAAATGGCTATCACAATGAAGACATAGGAGATGGAGATCAAAGTGAGGGGAATGCTTAGCACAATGAAGCTTATAATGTACAGGGCAGTCTCGTGAATGTGTGTGTCTGCACATGCCAGGCGCATGACTGCGGGCATGTCACAGTAGAAGTGGTAGATTTCATTGCTGTGGCAGAATGGGAGACCAAAGATTAAAATGGTTAAGGGAAGCGATAAAAGAAACCCTAGCATCAGGGATCCCACAGCCAGTTCCACACAAAAGGACCAGCTCATGATGAGGGTGTATCTCAGAGGGTAACAAATGGCTATAAACCGGTCATATGCCATGACTGCAAGCAGAACACAGTCAGCCCCACCCAAGAAGACAAAGAAAAACATTTGGGTACCACATCCGATGATGGAAACAGGAGTTTGGCCCATGGAAAGAAGGTTTGCCAGGGCCAAGGGGGCAATGGAAGATGTATAGAATATTTCCAGAACTGCCAAGATAGCCAGGAAAAAGTACATGGGGGTGTGGAGGGAGTGGTTGAGCTGGACAAGGACTGCAATGGTGGCATTTCCACTGAGGCTGGTTAGGTACATCACCAGGAAGACCACAAAAATCACCAGTTGGACCTCAGGGTCAGGAGAAAATGGACGGAAGAAGAACTGTATCTTTGTAGTTTTGTTTATTCCTTCCATGGGTAGAATACCGGATCTACTAAAAGGAAAGATGACATGGCGTGTCTTTAGTATGATGCTGTCTCAAATCCTCTTTTCCATGTGAGAGCATCTTTTATAGTACCTCAGCAATTATATGCATATTTTAGTTTTAAACCGTATCAGATGTTACAATTTATAAATTCACCTTTCCTAGCCCTTAAGAGCCAAAACTATCCTGTGGTGGAGATTTTGATGATCTTTGTTTTAATTGTAGTTCTTTGCGCAGTATCTGATGTAGAAGGCTTCTCAGGAAGCATTTAGTGAAGGAATTAAAGGCACTACAAAGTTCAGATTTTCAAATTGTTAAAATAGGGTATTCATGTATTATATAAAACTTGAAATAAAGCACTTTGGGATTGTATAGGCAAACATAGTTTAGAGAATTGTGCAGCTGTCATATTGTGTAATCATAAACTGTTATATTGTGTAATCACAAAACTATTGATTTCTTATAGTTCTGCTTTATCTAATTGTCTCTAGATGTTGACAGTTCACTCTTTTAGAGTTTCTGCTGTCTGTCGCTTTAGTGCTTTCCCACTGCCTCAACTGGATTCATGCTGCGCGATCCTGCATTTGGATGCTTGTGCTAGTACTCTCTAGCCTCCATTTGCCTCCTCTTACCACTAGAATTCATCCTGCTCTCTACTGTAACGTTACTCATCTGCTTAGAAATTCTCAGTGACTTATGTTGTTGAAATGTCGACTTTCATATTCCTCTGCCAGCTGTTCCAAACCTTCCTGGATTTGGACCTTTTCGTTGAACTCTCCTTGTGTTGGTTACTACACACTCTAACTCATTAACCTCTTACCTAGATACTCCCCCCAGCTATGTATACTTCTACTATTTCTACTAAAAACTGTAGCTCTTTTATATAATCTAACTCCTACACAATTTTCAAATTTTAGGACATGTTCTTATTTCCATGAAATCTTTCAATGCCACTTCAGTTTAAATTTCTCTTTTCTCTGAAATTCTATGCTGCTCATAATGTTACAATTTTAGTGTGAATGCACTATCTTTTAATGTATGTTCTGTCTTCTATTTTAGGTTTTCTAGAAATAGGAGCTGGAATCTTGCTTTATGACAAATGATCATTTATTCTATGTTAAGTGCTGGGTATGGTGAAAAAGTATTTTACTATGCATTAGCTCATTTAATCCTTGAGCAACTCAGACAGGAAAGCATCGCGATCTTTCTCATGTAACAAATGAAGGCGGACTTAAAGACATGACAAAGTGTTCTGAAATTACATGGGTAGAAAATGGGAAGTTTGGTGTTTTAACACAGTTTGTTTGATGATCAGAGCCCTTGAGCCTAACCTCAGTTTATTCTATATTGCTTCCTGCTATGCTTTATATTTTTAAGTAGCTTGGTTATCTTTTTTAAATTATCGTTAAACTTTCGTTAAAAGTTAATCTGGCCTATTGGAAAAATAACACCTAAGAAATGAGACCCAAAAAAATGCTAGATTATGGTCAGACTTGAGACTCATATATATAATATAGACACTGGTTTATTTAGTAAATGCTATTTTGCCAATGGAGACAGAATAGAAACAGTGTAGCAGGATAGGAGGAAGAATTTCATGAAATTTTTAAGGGTATAAAAGCATAACATTTTAAAAAGTTTCTTTCTTGTGGCTGATCACCAATACTTTAAGCTTATAAGTAGTTTGTCACACTAATTTAGTGTACTGAAGTAGAAAAGTTTTAAGTATGTTTAGATAATAAATTGGTGATTGTCCAGTGGAAAATAAAATTCTCCAAAGTTTCTGAATCTAAAATCTTGAGTCAGAGGAGCTCCTCTGTTATGATTTTGAAGAAAAGAACCATAATATGAGCAACCTCTTTTAAAATAGGTGTGACTCAGAGAAAACACCACGGAAAAAAACATATATATACATACACACAAAAATAATATATATGTATATGTGTGTGTATATACACACACATGTTTTTTCCTCAAAACTGTCTTTACAGAGGTGATTTGTCATCTGTTTAAAAACATTCTAACTGAAAAATTAAAAAATATTCACTTTTTTTCTTAGTTGAATGAGGGAGAAAGAAGAGAGGAAAGAAGAGTGAAGGGAGAAGAGAAACATTTCTTTCATCCATTGGTTCACTCGCTAAATACCTACAGGAGTAAATACTGTACAGTCTGAAGCTAGATGGAAGCCCAGGTTCCATCGGGGTCTTGCCTGTGGGTGGCAGGAATAAGGATGCTGGAACCGTCATCTGCTGCCTCCCAGGGTGTGCAGTGGCAAAAAGCCGGATGGGAAGCAGAGGGGCTTGGGTTCAAGCGATGTAGGTGTCCCGCACGGCAAGTGATCTTCTTTACCTGCCTGTTTATTGTTTCCTTTGCATGTTTATGATGATGTAATCAAGAGCAAGCCTCTAATTTTTGTTCATGTAATCTCTGTACAATCAGACTAGTGGCTTTCAGAACGTCACAGATGCCCATGGAATCAGAGAGATGCTCCTTAACCTGGCTCAGCTGTTCCATAAAGAGAATTTTTAATTTGCTTAAGGTTTCACCAGTGGGTCAATTTTAAATCCATCATTTAAATATGTAAGGTACTCCTGGGGACTCAAAGATGATCCAAACACTATCTACTCAGTGGATTCAGAGGGCAAACCAGATTTTCCCATGCTCTGGTTATGTTTGCCAAATCTTTATACACCCATTCTTGCCTGTTTCAGTTTATATTTGCAGACAACATTTAATGGCAGGAAGAAAAAAGTAGGTCACAAGGATTTTTAGTTCATCCAAAGCTGCAAAGAAAAGTGAATCAGAAACACCTTTTAACTAGAAAATTGCCTTTTTAGTCATGTATGTATAACCAGAATTTAGGACAATGCATGTATATCAGAAAAACATATAAGTCTGGGAGGAATGATGCTTCCAAAGAATATGGTAGGAAGTAGGGTATATTGGAATTAATTTATATCCAAATTTCAGGTTTGCCTCTTAACTTTGTGACCCTGCTTGGTTGCTTGCCATCCCCAAGGTACATACATTTGCTCAGAATTACACCTCCCTATTTTACAAATCTGTAATAACAGGCAATTTAAACAACATCCTTTGAGAAAACCTATCGGCATGCCTATCACATGTGTCTAATGAAGTGGATCAATTAATTGATTAATTCACAATGGAGGTTGAGACTGAGAAATTTGCCAAGTGGATGAAACACTTTCCAGGCCTAATATTTTCTAGAGGAGCTTTTATATCATATTTAATTCATGTACTAATTTCCCATAGCACCTATACTTCAGAATGTCTCTTAAAGTACAATGAAGATTGCTCATCCACTTGTAAACTAGTTGTTACTGTTTGCTATATTAAAATGTCTTGACTTTAGGTATATTTACATGTTTTAATTGTCCTACCTGATTTCTACGAAACGATAGAAGGCTCTTCTTGGCACATGAATATTCGTGCCTTCTGGATAGTCATGGGGCTGTGGCAGTCAGGGGAGATCTACTGATATCTGTTCAAAGAAAATGTTCCAATATCAGTTATCCAGGTGGAAGATGTATCCTGTCTTCATGAAACATTTTTGAGTAACATATTATGTCTAAAGAAACTCTAATGTGTAGTTTCAGAGGATGCTCATATGAGTAATTTTTGGTAACAGTATCTGAAAAGAAGGAGAGCCAAAATTACATTCCTTTACTCCTATTTTTTTTTTTTTTTACACAGTTTCAGTCGACAGTAGTAGCGTTTAGGCAGGTTTCCATGGTTCATTATGATACTTTTATTTTTAAGTTCATCTATTTTTCTAATGACTCACTTGTTTTACCTGAAAGGCGGAGTGACGGAGAGATCATTTCTGTCTTCTGGCTCATTGCACAGATAGCTACGTTGGCCAAGGTTGGACCAGGGCCAAGTCAAGAGCCCGGAACTCCATCTGGAGTCTACCATGTGGGTGAGAGTGACCAGGGCAACTTGGGCCATCCTCTGCTGCTTTTTGTGTGTATTAGCAGAGAGTTGTGTCTGAGATGGATCAACCAGAGCTTGAACTGTCATCCTCATACGGGATGCTGATATTGTAGGTGATGACGTAACAAGCTTCACCACAATGCCACAAGGACTTAACAACAACCACCACGATGAACTGGGAATATACAACATGTAACCTTCAGACACTCAGCAGGAAGTTATTCTCCTAGTGCAATAAAAATGGATAACATTCGCTGACTATTAAGTGGGATCTGCAGTGTGCTGATCATTTTACAGGTATCGCTTCACTGAAGTGGCTGTTTAGTCCAAGGCAGTAGGTTTTTAGATAAATTGAGCCTGGAAAGTAATCAACTTGTCCAGCCAGTGACAGAGTCCTGAATCCATTTGAATAGTTCAGTCTCTTAGCCTCTCATCAGTTTGAAGAGCATGGATTTCACAGTGTATAGTTTTTAGTTCCCCTCAAGCCGTTCATTATAACGCCTTGTTTCTGAGTGGGAATCAGGCTTTGGCTTTTTGTGAAAAGCTCCAAATTTAGCTTCTGTTCTTGACTAACATCTCCCCAAACCTTTCTCTTCTTTCAGAAAAGGGATCTTCTTTTCTAATCTAAAATAGTGTTTGCGGAGGAGATTCATACCTTTTGCTTGAGCCATGTGACGTGCGAGCCAGTGGAGATTTGCTTGAATCCTTAGATAGGCACTGAAGATGCCAGAAGGTGATATCAAAATTTTGCTGTCCTCAGAAGTTTCTTGGGTTAGCATGGGGCTTACTTCTATAGCACATTGCATTAAAAACTTCTCAAATCAGACCTGATTCATGTCAGATCAACTCCTGGATGGCTTGTCTTTTTTTGTACAAGGTATCTTTGAGGTTTTTTTACATTGCTGTAGCTTGGAACTTATTTTTGAAGTTGTCCTGGTTGTTAGATATGAGATTATCACCAAATAATGACATTCATAATTAACCTGACCCATGAGTCATTTTTGGCCCCCTGAGATACCTGAGGTCTGTTTGAGAA